ACCAAATTGTGTGGAGTTGTAGAAGTTATAATGTAGGACGGTCCAAGTATCTACCTCAGTCAGTACTAGCTCCTACTCTCCTGCTAGGCTCTGAAGTACACCCAGTCATAACTTCCCAGGGTTGATTCACTCTTTTAAGACCACCTCTGGGAAGACCAGTCTGTTCCAGCCTTTGGAACAGGTGAGAGGGAAAACTGGAGCTCTAAGAGGTTCTTGTTCTGTTTGGAAGGTGTTGGTTTATAATCCAGCTCACACACTTACACTAAGGCTCCATTCCCATTAGAGAAGTAGAGTTGCCCATTCTTTCGCTTCCTCTACCCTCTGGGAGAAGTAAGTCTCTCTCCTTAGTCCTGGGCCCTCAGTCAGGTTTGTAGTTGTTGTTTTGATTTGCTAAAAGAATTCTCCCTTGTTTTGCAGCTTGAGGAGACCAAGGCCCAGTGATTCGACTAAGACCACAGGGTCATTCAGTGATAAAATGATAGCTGGCCTTTTGACTCTCGGCCCATGGTCTTTCCAGGATCCAATATGGCCTCCCTTCTGTGGCTTGTAGGAAGACCCCAGGTTGGACGACCTTAGGCCTCAGGGTCCTTAACCCTGTGTTCTGAAAAGCTCTCTGGCTTCTCTTACATGAATACGGGAGGGGAGGCAGGCAGTGGTCTGACTTGCCCACCCTTGCTCTTGCTCTGCTGGAAGGCAAAAGGGCATCTCTCCACCCGCTGTTGGTCCATGGCTCCAAGCCAAGAAAAGAATAAGTCTTTTTGTTCTTGTCTTCACTGCCTTAATTCTCTATCAACTGAGCAACTGAAACTGAGGACTGCACACACACACACACACATACACACACACACACACACATGCACGGCGTCCTAGCTGGGTTCCACTTGGTTCTCCCATCCCTAGACTGGACAGAAACTGTGGTGGCTCTGAGGCCTGGAGGCTGACCCCTCCGCCTGCTGGCCTCAGTTTACTCTCTGTCCTGCTATTTCAGGGCACAGCAACTCCTCTGGCCTTTTCCGCCCTGGGTCTCAGTCTCTTTTTGTCAAAGGAGGTGCCAAATTCCTCAGATACTCTTAGACATCCTCTCCAGAACTCATGACAGAGGAGTCCTTCAACACCCCCTTTACCGTCACTGATGTATGGGATCTATCTGGGGAGCGAGAACACCCATCTACTCCATCCATTTTAACAGATCCTGACCTTGACTGGTGGGACACACCCTGCCAGGGAGGAGCACTCAGCTTTCCTCACACCGTTCCTTTCCTAGAGGCCTCAGGAAGGATGCCAGGATCCAGGTTGCCCCCACCCCAGCCCCATTCACTTACTTCTCATGACTGAGTCGTGCGCTTTCCAGCCTTGGCTACCTGTCCTCCTCTGCTGGGGGTGGTCCAGGGATGGAGGCACAGTTGTGAGAGTGGAGGGCCAGGCCCTCTCAGCAGTAACTCAGCCCACAGCTCTGCACCAGCTCTCCCCTATAGCTTCTGGGCAGGGCGGGGGGGGGGGGGGGGTGTTTAAGCTCCACACTGCACAGGTGGCCCAGGGACAGCCTCCCCCAACTCCGCACCTCAGGGGTGCAGCGGGTAGGATGACAGGCACCCCACGTGGCCAATCTGGGCCTGGGGCAGGGTGGGGGGGGCAGGGGGAGGGTGTGAGGGGTGGGGCAGCCAATCGTAGGGGGTGTTGGAAAATTCCAAAACCACATGTGACAGCCACACGCGGTAAGAGCTGTTTCCACTCGCCAGGGTGGTTCTGGCTGGGGAACCAGAATGGAGCACACACAACCTGGGGCCAGGTTCTTACTCCCCCTCCCCCTGAGGAGCTTCCGAGCTGGGCCCTCTTTGCCAGATGACGGCAGAGGTGAGTCTCAGGAAGTCTGCCTGGCATGGTGACGTGCCACTTGAGAGCCCTGTGGATGGCCAACAGCCATGCCCAGTGTGGTCTGGGAGACTTTTCCCCCCACTCACCATGGTCACATCCCCTCCCCATACATACAATATATGCCCTGGGCTTGGGAAGAGATGATGATAATAGTAGCTGTAATAAGGTATGGTGGTGTGGGTTAGTGCGCTGGGCTGCAATGTAGGTTTGTACCTCAAGGTTGGTGGTTCAAGCTCACCAGCCGCTCCTTGGAAACCTTATGCAGGGTCGCTATGGGTCAGAACCAACTCTATGGCAATTAACAACAACTACCCCTCCTGCAGATAGTAGGCTTTTGCCTGGTAGATTGTTGTTTTTAAGTGATGCTGACCTTGTGATTCACAGACCAGTGCTTTTCCTACAGTGCCACACCAGGACTTTAGTCCATTAGAAATTTCCTCAGGAACAAAGTTTCTAAAGTTTGACTGTAGCTAATGATGATGGTTTCCTGGTGTGGCGCTGTGCGGTAATGCGCCAGACTGCAGAGTCATTTGAACTGCAAGATCAGCAGTTCAAGCTCACCAGCTGCTCCTTGGAAACCCTATACAGGGTCGCTATAGGTCAGAATCGACTCGACTCGATGCCACTTACCACCACCAACAATGATGATGATGATGATAATAATAATAGTGCTTACTATGTGCCAAAGATGTTTCTAAATATTTCATGGAGTTCTAATCCTTGTAACTTCATGAGGTAGGTACCATTATTCTCATTTTAAAGATGAGAGAGGTTGAGTAGAGTATCTCAGCTTGAGAAGTCTTCTGGTATTGGGGTTTCCCTATAGGGTTTTTGACCTGAGGGTCCTTTTGAGACGGGGCACTAAATTTCAGAGGCCTTCTTTCTTAGTCTGTTATATGTGCTGTATGGTACAGCGTTTCTCTTGGGGTCTCTCAGTTTCAAGCCTGTTCTTGGTCTGGGAGTCACCTTAGGTTCTTCATGTCAGAACTCCTCTTGGGGATGTTTAATTTGACAGTCATTTCCCAGAGTCTCTCAGTTTGGGGAGGCCTCCATGACCCCTGGATTCTCCAGGCCAAATCTGCTACTAAGGCTCTGAGCTCTCCAGTCTGTAGCAGCTCCTGGGTCTGGTACTGGCCTTTCCCAGATGCTGGGCTGCCTGGGGCCTGTAGGAGCTGAAAAGACTGGGGCCACGGCTGTCAGCCTGGATTCTCATGAGGACACTTACTGGGTGGAGGACAGGGGTGGATGAAGAGAGCCAGTAGATTGGAAAAGGAACAAGGAGGTTTGGTTCTCACCAAGGTTTTTATGGTTAGGGGCTAAGGGCAGGAACGGGATGGAACTTCAGTGGCTCCCAGTTCCAGCTTCTCCAAATGTCCCCCTCCCACTCCCCCATGAATGGTCCCTGGCCACCCCTCCCTGAGCTCACCCGCGTCACTCCCTGACCCGCTTTCCTCCCGGGGCCCTGCTCAGCATTTCCGTGGGGCCCTGTGGCTACGGCAGGCAGGATTGTGCTGAGCAAAGCAACCCCCCAACTAGGAGGAAGTAGCCTCCTGAATGGCCCCCAACCCCTGCCTGCCCGGCCCAGGGAGAAGGGTGGTGCTGCAGCAGCCCTGAGATTTCTCTGTAGGATAGGCACTGGACTGATAGCCACAAGGTTGGCAGTTCAAACCCACCAGCCACTTCTTGGAAACCCTGTACAGAGTTGCTGTGAGTCGGAACCAATTTGATGGCTCTTCACAACAACAGGAGGGATGGCAGTGAGCTCTCAGGAAGAACTGGCAGGCAACCCAAATGAGGACAGTGGGAAATGCAGGAGGCCTTCCTCCCCCAGAGTGGTCCTCACTAATTCAGGGGCCCAGGCTTATGGAGGTCTTCCCCAGGGGCCCATGGATGGCTCAGGTAATGTGAGAACCTTGGGATTGAGGTGGAGTGGGAGTTTCTGGGGAAGTAGCGTCTCTCACAGACCAGAGGTCCTTAGGGAAGATGCTTACATGCTAGTGACTATTGAGAAGTCCTTTCTGAGACCTTGCCTCCTTCTCACATGCTGCAGTCTCAGTCTCTCCAAGTGTCCCTGCCCATTCTGTTTCCTAGCAGCTTCCTTGCGCTCCAGCCCTGCAGAGCCCTGCTCCACACTTGTTCACACCTTAGGATGTGTTAACCACAGAGACCAACACCAAACCTGGCTCTGCTGCCACAAAGCCTGGCGCACTCCTGGCCTCCCACAGATGTGGGAGTGGCTGAGGCCACCTCTGTCTCCTTGAACTCTTCATCTTTCCTTCCTCACTCAGCACCCCCACCTCCAGCCCCCTCATCTCCCATTTCCTTTTTCCAGGCTTCCCCTTTCCCTTTGTTTGCTCCTGGTTTCTTTACAATGTTCTCTGTTCCCCAACTCTTCAGGTTTCTGCTTTACTGCCTCCTAATTGCCCTTCTGGTAGTGTAGTGGTTACTAATCGGGCTGCAAACTACAAGGTCAACAGTTAGAAACTACCAGCTGTTATGTGGGAGAAAGATGAGGCTTTCTGCTCCTGTAAAGATTTACAGCCTCGGAAACCCTGTTCAGGGTCACTATGGGTCAGAACCGACTCGACAGCACTTAACAACAACAACAATTGCCCTTGTGGAGTCCTGGTATGGTGCTGCGGGTTAATGCACTGGACTGCGGTTTGAACTTCAAGGTCAGCGGTTCTAGCTCACAAGCCGCTGTTCGGAAACCCTATACAGGGTCACTGTGAGTTGGAAGGGAGAAATGAGGCTTTCTGCTCCCGGAAAGATTTACAGCCTCGGAAACCCTGTACAGGGTCGCTGTGAGTTGGAACTGACTCCACGGCACATAACTACCACCACCGCCATGAGTTGTAAGCTACTTAACGGCATTTAATAACAACATTGCTGTTATCTTCTCTTGTGACTTTTTCGTTCCCTTCCTCTCCTTTCCCTCCCTCCCTGTCTTCCCCTTGCTTTCCTGGCTCTGCTTAGGTCTGAGCCCCTGCTGCCTTTGCTTTCCCCTGTCTTTCTGTCTACCTCTGCACCATTCTTCACAGACTTCCTAGAGTCTTTGCTGATTTCTCCTCCATCTCTTCACACCTTAGCACCAGTTCCTGCCCCGTCCCTGCCCTCTGACTCACAGGTGTGGGTCTTCTTTGCAGCCAGCAGCTCTGTAGAGAGAAGAGGGAGTCAGAGTCAAAAGCCGGAGGCCATGGGGCAGGACTGAGAGACTCGCATCCCATTCACAGCTGCCTACACCTGCCCATTGTTTCCCCACCCCCACCCCCACCCCCGAGGAAGTGGACCACCCTCTGCAGCATGCTCTCTCCTTCATTCCTAGCTCCTCAGCTGGCTTCCAGGTCCTTAAAAACACCAGACTCCTCATGGCCTCTGGGATTCTCACCAGCTGTTCCTTCAAACCAGAATACCTTTCTCTTCCACACTCCTTAATCTAGTCAGCATCTCTGTAGCCCTCAGGCCTCAGATTTCATGCCTCCTCCTTGGGGAAACCTTTTAGACCTTTCTGTGGCACTTGCACACTCATAGCACCTGCATTTGATTTCCTGGCACTGGCCAAATTAAGTAACCACCACGGTGGTGTAATTGTCTGTTAAACTGGTCTTTCCTGCTAGACTCCGAGCCCTCTGAGGGTAGGGACCGTGTCTGTCTTATTCATCTCCTATGAAGTCCTGGTGTGATGCTGTAGGATTAGAACTGGACTGTACGATCTGTTTGAACCTCAAGGTCGGTGGTTCAGATCCACTAGTTTCTCCTTGGAAACCCTATGTGGCAGAACCCACTTGATGACACTTAGCTGTAACAACAGCAACTCCCTTGAGCTTTCAATAGTGTTTGGCACATTAAATCTCTGTGGTTGCTAATCGGATCCTGGAAGCATCAGGGGGCTCCAAAGGCCTGGAGTTGGGAGGAGGGCAATGAGGTGGTTTGGAGGTAGATGAGGGGAGAGCTGCAAAACACAGGGCCCCACTCTTTGCCTTCCTTGAGAATGGTACACTGGCTTGTCAGCCTGCAGAAGGGGAAGCCTTTGCTCTGCAGCTGCAGCTATGTGATTGGTTGCCATGGGGTGGGCAGGGACCCAAGGATCTTTGGGAGAGACAGGGAAGACCATCTGGGTGGCAGCTGCTGAGGGTAGAGCTAGTGCATGGTTGGGTTGTTCATCTGCACAGTTAGCGTTTATGAAACACCTACCAAATGAGCCCATGGGAAGAGGCCTCCCCTGACAGACCTTGATCCATTTCCTAGATCCACAGAGCACGTGGCCTGTTTGCTTGTCCCAGAAAGTCCTGCAACACTGCCTTATGCTCCCTGCACCTTCCCTAACCTCTGACTTGGATCGCCTGTTCTGTTTTTTTCTTCTTCTGCTATCCAATTCTCAGCCCTTCTGCTCAGGAGATGTCCCCTATGCTGCGCTGGGTTGGAGCCTGGACCCTGCTGGGATGGGGGAAGGACTGCCCATGAAGGGAGTGGCTCCATCAGGCCCCTCCTGCCTCCCCTGATCCCGCCTGGCCCCACTAGGCTTCTTCCCTGACGTGGCACCTCACAGGCCTCTAGCTTTGTACCTCAGAGCAATCTTGGGGGGAGGGGGCGGGCCCTTCCTCTGCCAGGTGGCCTTGGAGCTTGACAATGCTTGGTGCTTATTCACACAGCTGAGCAAGCATGTGGCCTAGGATCCTGCCTTGAGGGGGTCCCTAAATAGACGTTGGTGATGTCAAAGGCTACCTAACTCTCTATTCATTCCTGCCCAGCCCCTTGCCTTTTCTCTGCAGAAATGAAACACTATAGCCCTGGGCTGGCGGGGAAGAAGGTGCCAGACTAGTGGGCCTGGGCAGCTCACAGGGCTTGGCTGCTTCCTCACCCTTGGCCTCCCTTCCTCCCAGGCCTTCACTCCTTAAGACTTCCTTCATTGTTGAATGAATGGGAGGCAGAGTGGCCAGTCTCGCAGAAGACTTCAGAGAAGCAGCACCTCATCTACCCCCAGGAGCTTGCTGACCTCTGGGAGGGCTGGTCTGCCCTCTGGTCCCTCAGATTCACGGATTTAGCTTTCTTGACCCCTCTTCCCTTCTTCTTTTCCCTCACCAGTCTCATTCTTCTCTTTTCTCTTGATGTAGCTCCTGTTCCTACCCTTTTCCTTTTCTGTCACCCTGTCTGCCTTGTCCCCAGTTTCCTTTTCTGTACCTCTTTTAGACTCTCTCAAGACGTGTCCGGCCTCCCCTCCTGATTTCCCTGCCAGCCAGTCTCTGTCTGTTCTCTTGTCTAGCCCTTCTCGGGCTCTCTCCACCCCTCCTCACTATTTGCCTAGCCTCTTTCCAGCTCTTCCTTCCACCTGCCTGCAGGGCCCAAGGGCCTCTTACCCTGCGAGGCTTGGTGCTGTGTCTGTGGGGCCCTGTCCATGGGGTAGCTCCCTTGGTGCCGTCCTTGTTGCCCTGGCTGCCCAGGAGGGCAGGGAGCAGGGCCCAGGGGAGGAAGGAGGGAGGGAGCACCTGGCCTGTCGGCAGGCAGGGAAGAGGAGTGGCTGGCAGAGCGTCCTGGCACTGTGAGAGGACCTGGAGAGAGACCAGGAACCAGAGTGTGGAGGTTAGAGAAGAAACTGGATGGATGAAGGGGAGGGAGCTAGCATTCATTGAGCACCTACTGTGTGCTGGGCCTTTTGCCAGACACTTTATGAACATCCATAATTTCATTCCATCCTCACAATACCACCATAAAGCATACTCCTTTCTTCATATTTCTTGGTGCCAAGTGATGCTCAGAGATATTCATGACTTGCCCAAAATCACAAGGGCAATGAGTGATTGAGCTGTGATTTGAACCTCGATATTTGTGACTTCAGAATCATGTACTTTTCACCTGGGGTGGGGTAGACAGAGATGAGAAGTAGAGGACACATTTGGGGAAATTTTGCTGCTTCTCCAGGATGGGGTCAGACTAGTCCCACCAGCTCTTCAGCATCTTTTGGCATCTACTTGCTTGGCCTCATTCCTTGCCACCCTTCTGGCGAACTTCCTGATGTCCTCACATCCTCCTGGTCCATTGTGGGCTGAGGCAGGCCTGGAGGAATGTGTGGAGTCAGAGGGGCAGTGGAAGCGGGAAGGAGAGGAGGGAAAATGCTATATGGGACTAGTGGGGTGAGAGACAGGCCCCCAGGCCCAGTGACCCTACACTGGCCGCCTATACTGAGGGCTTTTAGGGGAGTCTGAGATGAATGAGGCTCCCATGGAACCTGGGTGCCACCTCTCTCCTGCCTCAGCCCAGAGTTTGATTAGCTGGGCCTGGCTCTCCTGGTTACCCAACAGGCTGGCTGGCCAGAGGCCAGGCTGCAGTGGGGAGGCTCCCTGGTACCTCCGCCTGCTCTCAATCCCAGCTGGTAAACAGCAGTGCAGGAGCCAGCCATGACAAGGCCTCGTGACTCGCACACTCCCCCCTCCCCTCAACCTGGAGCACGTGGCACCTGGCATGGAGAGGACTGGCAGCTGTCTCTTCCCTCTCCTGCCCTCCCATCTCATCAGCCTCCTCTCCGGCCCCACTCTGGAGCCACACACTCTGCTACCATCAGCACCTCTGTGCCTGGGTAGCTCCCAGAGTCTCCCAATGTCTGCAGCTTGAGGGTCAAAGGTTAGAAGAAGAGAAGGCCTTTCTAACTCTCCTGGTAGTTAACAGTGGGATAGGGAAAGAGGGAGAATGAATTGGAAGCTCCTAAGTTCCTTCTTGTACAGAGAAACTGAGGGTCTGATGATCTCTGCCAGACCCACTGTCTTTGTACATGTCTCTGTGTCAAACAGGATGTCAGTGTGTGTCGCTCTGTCCCTTGGGCAGGTTCGGAGGAAGAAGCAAAGCTCTCTGTGGCATCAACCACCCAGCACCTCTGGCTGTGGGGCGACCGATGGTGGAGTACATTATAGCTGCTGACAAATAGAGCCAGCAAGAGGCAGAGGGATGGGAGTGGGGGGTGGTTTTGCTCTTGTCTTTCCCATGGCCAGAAAGTCCTGCATCTGGACACAGCCCCATGCTTCCCCACTCAGTGACTAACCTTGCTTCTTTCCATTTGCCATCCTCCATCTCTCTCTCTGCCTCTCCCTGCCAGTCCCTGCCTATCTCTATGCCTCTCCAGCTCTGCCCTCTCTATCTCTTCTCTCTCGGCCTCTCTTCCTCTGTGACTCTGGGTCTCACAGGACCCCTGCCTCCCCAATCATAGACACCCATGCAGGATGCATGGAGGTGGGTACTCATGTGGCACTGTGCCAGGTCTGGCTGCCTCTCTTGGTTGTGCCATTTTATGCCACTGTGTGGGGTGAGAAGGAAGTGACTTGGGGTTGAGAGGCACATTCTTCCTAGACATTCTTGGCTACCCCTTTCCTGCTGTAAGCATGGATGACTGGGGTCCTTTTTCCTTAGGGAGGGCGAGAAATCACCTTGTTCATTCGTTTGGGAAGTCCCTACTGATTTCTAACCTTTTCCCCCTCTAGCTGCAACCACAGGCCCCTTTCCAGAGGAATCAGGGCAGTGGTTAGTTCCTTCTCAAATAGAGTCTTATGCAACAAAGAGGTTGATAGGGATCAGAGAATCATTTCACCCACCACATGCCCAAGTCTTCTTATCAATGTAGGGAATCTCCACGCAGGGGGCAGGCACCCTGGGCTGGGGGGGGGGGTAGTAGTGGTGGCTTGGAACTGGGGAGTAGTCACCAATTTCTTTTTCCCTTCCTCTCTACCCCCCAAACCACAGAAACCACTTTAAGCTCAGTTCAAGCCTGCCCTTCCAGGGAGGGACTGGGGGTGTGAGGTTGGAAGGTATGTAGGACCTGGGTGGCCTGCAATGGTCCCAATCCCCAAGACCCATCAATGGTCTTCCCTTCTTGGAAGCATGATATAGTGATTAGGGGCCACTTTCCTTTGGGCTGGAGTGAGGTCCTTGCCTCGGGAGACTTTAACCAGAGACACTGGAGTGACTTTGGGAGGTAGCAACCCCTCAATGGTTAAAAAAAAGGGACACCCTAACCTCTATAAATGCCCTAGAGTTCTCACTGCCTCCCCTTCCCTTCCTGTCACAAAGGCCACTGTGGGTGGAGGAGGGAACAGAGGGAGTTTGAGCCCAGCTTCTGGCCCTGAACTCTCCATGATGGCCCTGCTCATACTACTCATGTGGAAATTCACATTTATAATCTTCTGGCTCTGAGGCAGCAAGAGAAGCAGGAGCTTTGATTTTTGTAGCAGAAAGCCCAGGGTAAGAACGTGGCCCGTCATTTGTTAGTTGTGGGCACTGAACCTCCCAGTCCTCAATTGCCACACCAATAAACAGAGGACAGTAATAACCGTACTGACTTGTGAGGAACAAATCCAAGTGCTCTGGGCCAAAGCAGTCTCTCTACAGGCAGTAGAGTATGTTTCTGTGGCTTGAGCTCACTGGGAAGTCCCTGGAGAAAGTTGGTGGCTCTATCACAGGGCCTATGAACGGAGTGAGCTGCTTCTGAGTGGGCAGGAGCACCTGGCTGAAGTCAAGTTAGAAACCTTGTTTGCAGCTAGGACTGATCCCAGGACAGGCTGGTGACTGTGGACAAGGTTATTTAGTCATGCTGATGAATTTCCTCTGTGGTAAAATGGAAATAATATCTCCCTACCTTAGTGAGTGGTTGTGATACTTCACTGAGATAGCATAGGTAAAGTGTAGGATCTGGTACAAAGCACTGTGTTTTTTTAAAAGTGTTTCTCCCTCCCTCTCCTTAGTGGTACTCTTCCCTTCTTTTTATCTGAACCTCTTTTCCATTCCCCTTTGCTGCTTAATTTTTCTTCGAAGCACATCACCACTCCTAACTCCTAACATTTTGCTTATTTATTCTAGAACTTCTCTGATCCCTACGTCCACGCTGGTTACTGCTCTACCCAAAGTCTGGTACCTCATAAAACGCAAAGCACCACACCTCCAGTCAACTCATTGTGACACCGTGTGTGTCAAAGTAAAACTATACTCCGTTGTTTTTTTCTCTCATTCTCTTAGAAATGCTTTTTTAAAAATCTTCCTTTTATTTTATTTTTTTAGAAATGCAGTAATGAGCTAAAGATTTTAATATTTTGATTAACCTTTTAGTATCCAGATATTTGTGTATCTTAATTAATCCCCATAATTTTTTTTTTTTTTTTACTTTGTTGGTGGTTGGTTATGTGCCATGGAGTCTGTTCCAATGCATAGCAACCCTACATAGGGTTTCTGAGGTGTAAATCTTTACAGGAGCAGAAAACCTCATTTTTCTCCCACAGAACTGCTGGTAGTTTTGAACTGCTGACCATGAGATTAGCAGCCTGATTCGGAACCACTATGCTACCAGAGCTCTTTGTTGTTGTTGTTGTTGTTGTTTTTAACCTAGTAGCTATTGTCTGAGACTTATCCTGGAACATCGTACAAGGGAAAACACACAAATTTTAATATGTGTGGCAGTTCAAATCCAACGACTTTCAGAAACTCAACACAGGCTCTCTATGAGTCAGAACTGACTTGATGACACACAACAATAACAACAACAACAGATTATATGAAGAAAAATGTGGCATGTGGATTAGAAGCAGACTCATTAACAACCTGCGAAATGCAGATGATACAACATTGCTTGCTCGGAGTAAAGATGACTTGAGATACATATTGATGAAGATAGGGAATATATTCTTTGATCACTGCAATTCAATATGGATTACACCTCAATGTAAAGGAAACAAAAATCTTTATAACTAGGTCAACAGAGTACATGATGATAAATGGAGAAGAGGTTGAAAGAAATCAAACGAAGTATTGCATTAGGCCCATCTGCTACAAAAGATCTCGTTAAAGTGTTAGAGAGCAGAGATTTCAGTTTGAGGACTAAGGCGAACATGACCTAAGCCATTGTATTTTCAGTCACCTCATAAGCATGCAAACATTGGACAGTAAATAAGTCAGACTGTAGAAAAATCAATGCATTTAATATATGATCTATTGTATTTTGGAATTGTGTGGCGAGATCAATCCCTGGAGAAGGACATCATGTTTGGTAAAGTTGAGGGCCAATGCAAAAGAGGATGACCTCCAGTGAGATGGATTAATACAGTGTCAGTAATAATGGGTTCAAACATAGCAACAGTTGTCAGGATGGCACGGGATGGAGTATAGGGTAGTATGACTTAGAACTGAATCAACAGTGCCTGACAACAGCAACCATTCAATAACAACAAATCTGTAACTTTATAGCTAATCTGTATGAACACAGGAAAAAATCAGGTAGTTTCACACTAACCTCAACGGTGGTTATTTTGAGTATGTGCTTTTTTTAAAAAAAACAACAACAGATTCACTCCCATTGAATCAATCTAATTCACCATGACCTTATGTAGGGTTTCTGAGGCTGTAAGTCTTTATGGGAGCAGACAACCTCATCTTTCTCCCTGGAAGTGACTGGTGGGTTTGAACTGCTGACCTCTGGT